CCCCACCCCCGACGCAAAGCGTTCCTGGGCGCGGCGGGGACGGGGGCGCTGCAGGGCGGCGGGAGGAAGGGCCGGAGCAGGGCTGCCCCGACCCCGGCCCTGCCCGCAGGTTGGCGCAGATCAGCCTGAAGAGCTACGACCCGCCGAAGGACGAGCGCTGCTCTGGCACCGTCGAGTCGGGCCCTAGGGGTGCCCGGGCGGGTCGGCCCCGGCTGCACGGGCCCCCACCCTGGGGCCCTCGCCGTGAGGGGAGGTGCGGGCAGACACCTCGGAGCCAGGGCACGTGCCGGCAGCCGTGGCCAGGTGTCGTGATAGCGGTCTCCCGTCGAGGCGTGTGGCGCCGGCCGGGCTGCCTCCCTTTGCAGGGTCAAGGTCTCGGCGTGCGTGCCGGGGGACCGGCAGCACCGCGATGAGGCCACAGCCATGGACCTCCTGCACATGGACATCGAGGCCCTGCGGACGAGAACAACCAGCGGGGCGAGTGGCCTGGCCACGAGCTGGCGCTGCCACGACAGCCTCCTTCCCCATCCGCCATCGGGGTGCACGTCGGACACGGCCCCGCAGCAGCACTCGGACCCGCAGCCTCGGCGGGCAGCGAGCTTCAAAGCTTTTAGCCAGAGGTGAAGCCGGGTCCTTGAAAACAACCGTGGTTAACTGTGCAACGAGTGTAGCTGGACGGCTGTCGCTGTCTGGGCTGCGGTCACACCGGCTTGCAGGTCCTAGAAGCAGGCTGCTGGTTTCTAGCTGGATGTAGGAAAGGAGCGTGGCCTTTCCGCCTTGACTTCCCCTCGGGTACGTCTGCCGCACCTCCTGCTGCTGCTCAGGGAGCGAGCGTGCTGTGCCACTGGCCGAGTAACGCTTGAGGAGGAATTTAGTCAAGGAGAAAGTGCAGGTGAGCCACTTTTTCCGACAGGCCAGACTGTAATAATACATTTGAATTTCTGCTTGGTCAGTGCTGGGTAGCACGGTTAGTTTGCTAGTGCTTGCTCCTAGCAAGCTGATTTTGCTCCATTGCATACCGTTGGGTCTGGCTTGGTCTCTGTTAGGCTTGTGGGCATTACAGCTGCAGCAGGACAAAGTGTCCATGCTACAGTTTGTACCCGTGGCTGAAATGGCCATGTACCCAAGGTCTGTGACAAATAAGGGCTGGCACACAAAGTACAGTCCTTCCCAATCCCGATTTAATTTGTTTTGTACTTGACAATGGACAAAGGCTCTTACCCTCCCCCCCCACCTCCTTGTCCTGCCTGCATCACAACCATGCTGGTGTACTGAGGGAGAGGGGAAAGGAAAGGATCTCCAATTTTAAATCCAGGAGTGGCTTTCTCTTGCAATAGGCCTGGCTTTCTCCAAGCTATAATGGGGGTCTCAAAGGTCTTGTCTGTGCAGGACACCCTAGGAAATTTTGCTGCTATATAACTACATCAATATGGCTTCTCCCAGCAGAAGCCTATTTTTGCCAGTACAGCTCATACATTTTCCCTGTACAAAATAAATAAACAGTAGAAGCTGGGTCTTGGCCAGGGAACACTTACTGG